CTCTGCCCCCGAGAGATGAATCCATCTCTTTATACAACAAGGCCATAGAATTTTCCCAGTTTCAATGAATGGGGCTGCAAGTTCCTTCAGTACCCCTTTTACCCTAATTTATACCATTCCCCCCTCCCCTTCTAGGCAAGATGCAACATATTCTGGGATCCTTCCCTTTGACCACCCACTTCTATGGCTGACCTGTACTTATCCAGTAGTCCGTCTCCTGCCCTTCCCCAAAGCCCTTTAACCCGCATAAAAAGAATTTTAAAGGGCTTGTTCCCCTTACCGACCCTTTTATTATCCAAAATGACCCCCCAAAAACCCCCTCCAGGGGAAACTCCAGGTAAAAATGCACTATATAACAACCACTCCTGGGGGGCAACCCTCTGTCTGCTTTTTTTTTTTCTCTGTTTCAAAAAGCCTGTCCCCTATTTTTTACCTGAGAGTCTCCCACAATCAAATATTTTTTACCTTGATTGCGGGGATCGAGGTTCCCTTTTCCTCACTAACCCTGAAGTCATTCGTGTTGAAAAAACAAGAATCGATTTCCTACTTTCAATCTTCTTTTTTAACCCTCTTTTCTTTTTTCTTTTTGAACTGTGAACCCTTATCATTAAGTGGCTGCCACCCCTGGTGGTAACCATTTCCCCTTTACCAGCACAACTATTTACACTCCCCCAAACCCCTTAGGGGAAACTTCAACCTCCTGTTTTCCCCTGAAAAGTAGAACCTCCTTCTTTAACCCTTTAACCGAATTCTAAAATACTCAACAAACCATGGGGCTGGGTAACACCCCGCTAATACCCAGACAAATCGGAAAGGTATGACCACACGTGACCCCGACCTCAGGGATGATAATTAATATTGGCCTGTTATTTCGTTACTGGGTTTTCAAGGCACTTGCGATAGTGTGTGGTAAAAAAAAGACTCAGTCACTCAACCGTCTATCAAAGTTATGTTCACCCGAGAATAAGATTGATTATAATGACACCGTTTTTTTATTTACAACACTTCCCCTACAATATATTCGGGCATCATACAATTTCAAAGGATTTTTTATTCTTTAAAATTTTTATAAAATTCACAAAAAGTATCGAATTAATTTGTCAACCAATCACCATCGTCGTCCAAGCTGCGCTAATTCATTCATAAAATATCTTTACTCTTGTGTTTTACTACATCTTGTTGCCTGATAATATTTCTGCCCAGGAGAGAGAGAGAGAGAGAGAGAGAGAGAGAAAGAGAGAGAAAGAGCAGAACTTGAATTCCGCAACTGTGCAATATGCCCCAAGATATTAATTAACATGGAAGGAAGAAAAAATAAAATGATCCTAAAGGGGATGAAGAGAAGATTGAAGCATGTATTTAGAGTGGAAAGTAATTTATAGATGCATCAAAAGAGGAGAGGATAACATTATTGACCAATATGTCCATATTAAATGTCGGGTAAAGAAGGGAATTAGTAAGGGTAAACCGTGACAATGAAATTTAAAGTAGCAGAGAAGGGAAAGGGACAATCGAAAAGGGTTCTTTCAAGTGTGTAGGAAAAAATAGGACCACTGAAAACTGGAGGTGGGCAGCTTACTGATAGTGAGAAGGAAATGTGTTCTCTTTTTAATAATTTTTTTCTTTTTAGCTTTACACAAGAAAAAAAAATAATACCCCAGCAATTAATTATTCAAGTGCTGAAGAAAACCCGTCACGAGGGACATGGTTATCAAACAGTAATAAACTAAAACATAATAAGTCCTTTGACTCCCGACGAACTGTTTTCAAGATTACTTAAATAATGCACCTGGGAACCTGCCACTAACGACCTTGTTTAATGCATCTATCCAAACTGGTCTTGTGCCAGAGATGTGGAAGATTGCTAATGAAATTCTTGTAATTAAATCAGAGATTAAGTCAGTTCCAGCAAATTTCTGACCCAATTCACGTACCATGGGAGTGTAGTAAAACTTTCTGACTCAACCCACGTATCACGGGAGTGTAGTGAAAATTTCTGTCCCAACTCACGTAGCGTGGGAATGTAGTGAAAATTTCTGTCCCAACTCACGTAGCGTGGATATGTAGTGAAAATTTCTGTCCCAACTCACGTAGCGTGGGATGTAGTGAAAATTTCTGTCCCAACTCACGTAGCGTGGGAATGTAGTGAAAATTTCTGTCCCAACTCACGTAGCGTGGGAATGTAGTGAAAATTTCTGTCCCAACTCACATAGCGTGGGAATGTAGTGAAAATTTCTGTCCCAACTCACGTAGCGTGGGAGTGTAGTGAAAATTTGGTGTGGTCATTTGTCAAGTTTAGTTTTTTTTATGAAGGACATGTCATGCATAGTTAAATTACTTACAAATTCGATTTATTATGAACGAATCTAATTTATATAACCCTGAACTAATATTCATATTGAAATTAGTGCTATTTTTTGATGGAACTTAATACAGTTATATTCTTCCAGCCATGGCCCTGATTTATTACAATTTTCTCAGCCTCTGAGAAATAAATTGCAGGTTTAATATCTCTTACAAGAATAAACAGATTCAAGTATAGTTCTAATGCTATTTCTACTTATGTTTCTCGTAATCTTACTTCAAGGTTTTTCCCAGATTGAACATAATAAATTATATGGTAAATTTTACAGGGAATCTTATAAATAAAAGCCGTCAGCATTCTTGGAAGAATTTTGAGTCAAACTTTATTTTATTGTATCAAGATTTTTAAATACAACTTTTATTTTAAAATTCTTAAGTAGAGAAAGTATATCAAGAAGGTTCTCTTGTGAGGGTAGAACCGACCTATTCCTTTTTTTATATTTTTCTTTGTCTTTTTTTTTTAATTGTGAAATGCTTTTCTGGTAATTTTAAAAGATTTGTCAGCTATTTTTTTTTTCGGGTATTCTGGATCATTTACAATTTCATAAATCTTTAAAATTTCTTCAACAATGAAATCTGGGCTGCAAATGCACAGAATTCTCAGAAACATATACCTGTAGTGTACCTGGAGAGAGTTCTGGGGGTCAACGCCCACGCGGCCCGGTCTGTGACCAGGCCTCATGATGGATCAGAGCCTGATCAACCAGGCTGTTACTGCTGGGCCGCACATAATCCGACGTTCGAACCACAGCCCGGCTGGTCAGGTACTGACTTTAGGTGCCTGTCCAGCACCTGCTTGAAGACAGCCAGGGGTCTATTGGCAATCCCCCTGATGTATTATGGGAGGCAGTTGAACGGCCTTGGGTTCATGGCACTTATTGTGTTGTCTCTTATCGTGCTAGTGGCACCCCTGCACCATCTGGGGAGTCTTTTGCTTTCGTAGGGAGTGATTTTCGCGTGTCAATTTGGTATTAGTCACTCGAGGATTTTCCAGATGTATATAATCATGTATCTCTCCCTCCTCTGTTCTAGGGAGTACAGGTTTAGGAAGTTCAAGCGTTCCCAGTAATTGAGGTGGTTTATCTCAGTTATTTCACTAGCTATGAAAAGTGCTTTTAGTTTACAGCAACACTCCAGTCTAAATAGAACAAGCGACCTGAAGAGTGTCATCATGGTCTTGGCATCCCTGGTTTTGAAGGTTCTCATTATCCATCCTGTCATTTTTCTAGGAGTTGAAATTGATACAGTGTTGTGGTCCATGAAAATGAGATCCTCTGACATGATCACACCCAAGTCTTTGACATTATTGTTTCGTTCCATTGTGTGGTTGGAATTTGTTTTATACATCGATGAAATTTTAATTTCCTCACGTTTTCCATATTGGAGTAATTGGAATTTCTCATCATTGAACTTCATATTGTTTTCTGCAGACCATTTAAATTTTTGGTTGATGTCCACCTGAAGTCTTACAGTGCAAATCCGGGTATCATCTGCTAAGACACTGCACTGTGGCTTATATTCCTGTCTAAGTCTGATATGAGGATGAGGAACAACATGGGGAAGAGTAATGTGCCTTGTGGAACAGATCTTTTCACAGTAGCCACCTCAAACTTCACTCTGTTGACTACTATTTTTTGTGTTCTATTTGATAGGAAATTACAGATCCATTTACCGACTTTTCCAGTTGTTCCTTTATCCGCATTTTGTGCACTATTACACAAAGGTCACATTTGTCAAAGGTTTTTGCAAAGTCTGTGTACAAACATATTACATCTGCATTCTGTTTGTCTTCTAGAGCACCCAGAACCTTGTCGTAGTGGTCCAGTAGTTGGGAAAGACAGGAGCGACCTGCTCTAGACCCATGCCCTGGATTGTGTAACTGACGAGTATCTAAATGGGTAGTGGTCTTGCTTCTTAGAACCCTTTCAGAGACTTTATGATATGGGATGTTTGTGCTATCGGTCTGTAGTTCTTTGCTGTTGCTTTAGTGCCCCCTTTGTGGAGTGGGGCTATGTCTGTTGTTTTAAATAACTGTGGGACGACCCCAGTGTCCATGCTTCCTCTCCACAGGATAAAAGCACGTGATAGGAACTTCTTGTAGTTCTTGATGAACATGAAGTTCCATGAGTCTGGGTCTGGGGTAGAGTGCATGGCATGTCATTTATCGCCTTTTCGAAGTCATTTGGCGTGAGAATAAAGAAATTTAACTCTGTCATTATGTGAAGAATAATAGTGGACATAAGAGCAGTTTTTTGTTGATTTTCTGTATTTTGAATTTAAATTTTTGGTTCCCCTAATAATTTAAACATCTCAAACAAACTAATGTGTTTTTTTTCGTTCAAACTGGTCATTGAACATCGTCCACATATCTCGACCATTTTTCTTTATCAGGAAAAATTCTGTTAAGCAATCTTTCTTCAAAATATTTTAAGTACAAATTGCTAAGGACTGATGAAAGAGGATTTAACATTTGTCAGTATCTCAGGAGTAATGAAAATTCAAATTTTCCAAGTAATGATTGTGATACTTTAAAAATGGTAATAATATTTGAATGTTCTCTTAGAATTGTTAATTTAATATTATGATTGATAAAAATCATTTTGTTGTTTTCCCAGGTGTGATAATGACGAGGTGACTTGGCTTTCACCCAGGCGACTTCAGGGTGGACATGATGATAGCACAGAAACAAAACAAACACTTTCATAATGGAATTCAAGTTACCATAAATACTGATACTCTGTTGAACCCTGAAGATTTTTCTCATGTTCTGGTGCACTTATATAAGTAAGTATAAAACTTCCAGTGATAATGCAGTACTAGACGTGTTATTTTGCTTAACAATGAAGCAGGTTCATATTACTTTTCTTTTCTACGTTATTGATGAATGCAGAATCATTATTTACAGTCATTCCCTTCATGAAACAAAACAATATAAACTGATAAACTACTCAGGGACTTTGTTAATTACGATATTCAGACAAATATCAGTACATATTTTATTATAATTAAGAGTAAATAACTAGTTGTATATGTAGATTAATTATATGTATAAAAATATTTTGGAGTTGCAAAGGTCGAATTTATAGCTAATTCTTAAAGTTTTCATGTAAATAATTGGCTTGAGAATGAAGTATCCACGAAGGAGAACCTCTACCATCTTATTTTCTTCACTCACAACTAGCAAGTGTATGGTAATTTGGGACAAACTCTTATAACAATTGCCTGTGCAACTGTTACTGTTATATCCTCTCCTAGAATACTAGTATGGTCCCTGTAACTTCTGAAACCATCGACAGCGAAGATTCATAGGTTCATGAAAATTTGTCACCTAATTAAGCGCTGAAGGAATGTGAAATTCAAGTGAATAGACTCAGGTTTCCTATTTTATGTTTAAAATATTTTTAAGTTTTATTCCTGATAAATCACACTAAACAAATTTCAGTTTACTTCTTCTCAGCGACTTCATCACTAAATTACTGATCCATCTTTCGGTCAGGATATAAACACAGTAAGTTTAGCTAAGCAGAAACAACTTTGTCAATATAAAATAATCCTTAAAAATCTTGTAATTACTGAGCCAGATTCTTTCTCAATAAGCTAGAGCTCCTTCCTTTTAACCAAAGTTGTTGAAGTTAGTTTAATATCTATATTATGCACCCCATACCCATCCTGTGGGTGGTAGTCACATTACAGAGGTACATAATGGGTCCAGGGACTGGGCCCCAAAGGTAATGAACCATTCACACGTCTACATCTGATCACAATTGAAATTAGCAAAATCAGGTCATTGTTCCAGAATGGTTTGTAATATACAACTGTAGATAAAATACTTTGACATATGTAACATTTCTGAGCGAGTTGTCTCTGAATTCATTAATTTTATCGCATTCCAGTACAAAATGATGCAATGTGTGACAATAGTCCATTTGGCAACCTTTACATTTCGTCTCGTTGTCTCTGTCGCCCAGCCAGAGCCGGGCAGTAGTGACATCCAAGAGTTTGCTTATTTTCTTAGATGCACCATAGATATCTTGCTCCTCCTTCATTATAGAATTATGACAGATGGACTGACTGGTGTCAGTCTCTCTAAGTCTTAAGTTAATAAAGTTCAATTGAAGTTCTTTTCTTATTATTGTTCTGGAACTGCTGACTGACAAGCAAAGATTGTGATGTACTCTCTTTTTAGCCAATTCATCAGTTTTGTCGTGCATCTGAAGACCAGTGTGAGATGGAATCAACAGAAGGTGCACTCTGATCCACTGTCCACAACCCTTTACCATACCTGTGTCCTGGCTTCCTGACACAAGCTTTGCCAAAGTTCATATTTAAATGAGTTGAGAGCATTTATGGATGACAGAGACTCGCAAATAAAATGTTAACCTTAGATACTTGGAGACAAGAACTCAGCTGCAAGATCTAAGTGAGGCCATACTAATGATTTACCTGGAGTTTACCTGGAGAGAATTCCAGGGGTCAACGCCCCCGCGGCCCGGTCTGTGACCAGGCCTGATGTATAGAGCTATAGTATAACTTCTAGATTCTTGATATAAAATCCCAGTAATTTGTCTTATTACGTACACTTAGGCACTGCTGTCTTGGTTTTAGGTTCCTGCTTACCATATCTCCTAAGTCCTTTTTGCATTCTGTATGGCTAAGTTCTACATTATTTAGATTATAAGCGCCAGAGTTATGTACTCACACTTCGACAGAAAACCCCTGCACATCACAAATGTGACAATTCATAGGAGAAAACAATGTCAGATCAATGAATCATCTCTAAGCAATGAGGGAATCTATTGTGAACAATAAACTGATCACCTGCCAGGACTTAAATGAACCTAGACTTATAGAATAACCCAAACAACTGTTGCTGTGTGATACTCCCTCTCATTTATACTGTTATGATCTTATCACATCTGTCTTAAAGAATTGTGAATACAGGAAGGCTGCTTCTCTACTAATTTATGTATGATGTTGGTCACTCCAGCTCTGTGACTCGTGCAGTAATAGTGATAATACTCAGTTACACAGCCCATTTCTAAAATTCTCTATAATTTCTTGGAAAAATACTTATATCCCTCTTGTTTTCCTTTTGTTTAAAACTAGACTAATGCAGAGGAAACTCTCCCAAAATTCTGTCTGTTACACAAGAAGTAAGAGTCAATCTAGGGAAAATGTAGGAAATATTATTAATTTTTATGTTACAGTGGTAGCGAACCAGACAATTGCGCCGTACACTACCAGCCTGGTATATACAGCCTGGTACATACAGCTTAGAATATACAGCTTGGTATATACAGCCTGGTATATACAGCCTGGTATATACAGCCTGGTACATACACCTTAGAATATACAGCTTGATATATACAGCCTGGTATATACAATCTGGTATATACAGCCTGGTATATACAGTCTGGTATATATATCCAGGTACATACAGCCAGGTATATACAGCCAGGTATATACAGCCTGGTATATACAGCCTGGTATATACAGCCTACTATATGCAGCCTGGTATATACAGCCTGGTATATACAGAGATGGAACTAATAAAGTGTGTTAAATAGGAGTGAACATGAGTTTAATAATATAATGTTAAATTATAAGAATGGTAATATCTATGATGGAATTTAATGAAAAAGTTAATTATAATTTTTGGTTTGGAGTTAATAAGAACATTATTTGAAGAGATGCAGTTTGGGTAGTAATGTTGCTGTTTGCTGGTCATTATTACATATTGATGTCTTGGCCCTTCTAGACAAAATGTTTTTTAAAGCCACACCACTGGTGGGGTTTGAACCCGCGGTCATAGTCTCAAAACACCAGTGGTATGGTTAGTTTGCAATCGTGTCATTACTATTTCGTGAGTCATGTTTTGGCAAGAATCGATTGTCATGTTAGGACGAACTTTCAATGTGGTCTACTGCGTGTTTTTAGTATCTGCCATCATTTTGTGAAGATAAAATTAATAGTTTAGGGTTTGTCTTAATAATGGTTCTACTGTTCCATGAGAATATTGTAAGTCATTTTTGTGGGAATAATTAAGTACGTTTCACAAAAAATAAACAAATTCATAATTATTTAAAAAAATCATATTTATCTTGATTAAAATTTTAAAGACAGTTAGGAGGTAAATTTAATTAAATAGTGAAATTCTTAGCATCCGTTAAAAATATCTTTACCTTAATCCAGTGTGAACGTGAGAAAAAATATAATAATTAGTAAGGAGTTCAGCTGAATATATTCTGGAATATGTTGACAAACATCTTCCTCATATAAATAGAATCTTGGTATAAACTTTTGTAGATCTGATACATTCTGATTTATTCTGGTCCCAGGTATAATTTGGCTTAGTGGAGGAATATTAAGTAATATCAGATGGTGCCACCAATAAACCTGTGACTTTATAACGAAGGAATTTGGGTAAATTATAAACTATTATATCATCCTAATAAATGCCGTCGTTATTTACGTCAGAATTTAAACATTAAATAGAGTACATTGAATATGCAAACTTGCAATTATCTTAATGATGTAAAATATTAACAATTAAATTTAAAAATCTCTGATACACATTTATGCAAATGCAAGGTGTGAGAGAGGACCAAATTACATTATTTAAATATGGAAAGAGAGTTCATTCTTCAGTTGTTTACAATGAGAGTGACAACCATGTAAACAGTTCCACAGTGATCATGCAGCTTGTCCCTGGTGAAGTTTTGAAGACATTCATCACTCAAGACACTCATCACTTACTCAAGACACTCATCGATTACTCAAGACACTCATCACTTATTCAAAATACTCATCACTTGCTCAAGACACTCATCACTTACTAAAGACACTCATTACTTACTCAAGACACTCATCACTTACTCAAGACACTCATCACTTACTCACGACACTCATTACTTACTCAAGACTCTCATCACTTACTCAAGATACTCATCACTTACTCAAGACACTCATAACTTACTCAAGACACTCATCACTTACTCAAGACACTCATCACTTACTCAAGACACTCATCACTTACTCAAGATACTCATCACTTAAGACACTCATCACTTACTCAAGACACTCATCACTTACTCAAGACTCTCATCACTTACTCAAGATACTCATCACTTACTCAAGACACTCATCACTTACTCAAGACACTCATCACTTACTCAAGACACTCATCACTTACTCAAGACACTCATCACTTACTCAAGATACTCATCACTTACTCAAGACACTCATCACTTACTCAAGACACTCATCACTTACTCAAGACACCCATCACTTACTCAAGACACTCATCACTTACTCAAGACACTTGTGGAGAAATTTTCTCCAGGAGGGGGGTATCAGCCTCCTTCAGCCCCTTCAGCCTCTTTCAGCCCTGAGGGACCCAGCCCTCTCAGAAGGGGCAAATATCTTGTTTACTGCTACAGCGAGTAATTGATCCCAGATGCAGTACCAGATTTAAACATTCTGCTTTGCTTCATCGACGAAGTGGCAAGGAAGCAAAAGTACTAGGTCAGCTTTTCCTTTGTGCTGGGGGCAGCAACGGCGTGGGGCGCTGTGGCATCTTCAGATTACTTTTGACTCTACTGAGAGTGACAATGATGCCAGGATAACCAACAAAGAACGATCTGTGCGTTAGTGTGAACAAAGTGTCTCACAAAACACGATAAACACTTACAGAGAAGTGTGGTCAGCTTCTTTAGTGATAGGATTGTGAACAATAAAGACAAATCTTGTGGAACATAGTCTACCAGTGTGCGTTTTCCTAGACT